CACATGCACATCTACACACACACATGCACATCTACACACATGCACATCTACACACATGCACATCGACACACACACATGCACATCTACACACACATATGCACATCTACAAACACACATGCACATCTACACACACACATGCACATCTACACACGCACATGCACATCTACACACATGCACATCTACACACACACATGCACATCTACACACACATGCACATCTACACACACACATGCACATCTACACACACATGCACATCTATATACACATGCACATCTACACACACACATGCACATCTACACACTCACATGCACATCTACACACACACACGCACATCTACACACACACGCACATCTACACACACACGCACATCTACACACACACGCACATCTACACACACACGCACATCTACACACACACGCACATCTACACACACACGCACATCTACACACACATGCACATCTACACACACATGCACATCTACACACACACGCACAGCTACATACACACATGCACATCTACACACACTCATGCACATCTACACACACACATGCACATCTACACACATGCACATCTACACATATGCACATCTACACACACACATGCACATCTACACACACACATGCACATCGACACACACACATGCACATCTACACACATGCACATCTACACACACACATGCACATCGACACACACACATGCACATCTACACGCACATGCACATCTACACACACACATGCACATCTACAAACACACATGCACATCTACACACACACATGCACATCTACACACACATGCACATCTATATACACATGCACATCTACACACACACATGCACATCTACACACTCACATGCACATCTACACACACACATGCACATCTACAAACACATGCACATCTACACACATGCACATCTACACACTCACATGCACATCTACAAACACATGCACATCTACACACATGCACATCTACACACTCACATGCACATCTACACACTCACATGCACATCTACAAACACATGCACATCTACACACATGCACATCTACACACTCACATGCACATCTACAAACACATGCACATCTACACACACATGCACATCTACACACACACATCTACACACACATGCACATCTACACACTCACATGCACATCTACACACTCACATGCACATCTACACACACATGCACATCTACACACACACATCTACACACACATGCACATCTACACACACACATGCACATCTACACACACACATCTACACACACATGCACATCTACACACACACATCTACACTCACATGCACATCTACAAACACATGCACATCTACACACACATGCACATCTACACACACATGCACATCTACACACTCACATGCACATCTACACACTCACATGCACATCTACACACACGTGCACATCTACACACACACACATGCACATCTACACACACACACATGCACATCTACACACACATGCACATCTACAAACACACATGCACATCTGCACACATGCACATCTACAAACACACATGCACATCTACACACACATGCACATCTACACACATGCACATCTACACACATGCACATCTACACACACATGCACATCTACAAACACACATGCACATCTACACACACACACATGCACATCTACACACACACATGCACATCTACACACACACACATGCACATCTACACACACACACATGCACATCTACAAACACACATGCACATCTACACACACACATGCACATCTACACACACACACATGCACATCTACACACACACACATGCACATCTACACAAACACACATGCACATCTACAAACACACATGCACATCTACACACACACATGCACATCTACACACACACACATGCACATCTACACACACACACATGCACATCTGATATAGTTTTAGATACAGGGAAATTTAAAAAGAAACTACCAAGAAAAAAAACTATTCTGTGCAATCTTAAGAGTTATAAAACCTTTAGATATTATTTCAACTCACAGCGATATTATTGTCCATTACATTGTATTGCACCATGAGTATTATTGCTCTTATTACCTTTTTACTTTAGTTTGCTCTTTCTGTTTGATTGTAAGTCCTGTACTGTAAAGTGTTAAGCGATGCTGGAGGGGCAGTATGGACTAAAAGACAAAATGCTCAATACTTAAATCTGGTCTTTGCCCACATATAATCCATCCATTCACAGATGCAGTATTTATTTCCAGAGATTATACACATCCCGACAACATATTGCAGCAGCAGATTTGTCTCAGTCATAATAATGAGTTTAGGTAGGGATCAGCTTGACTGTGAGTTTTGCTAATTAAAGTGTCGTAATTACAGTTAAATAGCTGAAGTAGCCCTCTAGGCTGGTAGTGAAGTTGGCAGGTTGGAGAATGACTTGGCATGGCTCCGTCCTGGCAGGTGGGACCCTGAAATGTGTCGGGCCAGCTCGCCTGCTGTCGGCCTATTTTCTCACCTTATTAGTCATCTTCAACACTAATTAACAACATGGACAGTCTTCCCCCCCCCCCGAGGTTTCTATCTTTTATTGTGTCAACAGGAAGATTAAGAGGGTCAGACAGAGGGCTGAGACACGAGGAAACTTGTAGGCTTTGCTTCCCAGCGTGGATTCACAAACAAACTGAAAGTCTGTGAGTGACGTAGGGAGACCTGCGAGTGTGTTCACACCCCTCAGTCATAGTTTAGAGACTTCCCAGACGAGACAGAAACTCAAGAACAAGACACACCCGTCAGTCGGATATCCTCATGTTCTGACTCACCGAGATGTTTTTAAATCAACACCGGCTCTGCTGTTGTGTTTGTTGTCAGTGGACCATGACCTCATCATCATGCGTCCTGTTGGCCATTGTTCTCCACACAACACTCAACTTATCCTCCCTCCACGGGACTAATGTTGACATCATAGTCGCTCTGTCAAGAGTGTCAATATTTACCAGGCTCCCTGTGAGAGTGCGGGAGCGAAAAAGTAAGTGAGCTTTTCTTCCTCATTATTTTTTCACATCTTTACAATTTTGTACTTTTTTGGGGTTAATTCATAAACTTTGATCGCCCACGGCTCAGGTATCACGGCCAGTTGAACCCGTCTCCTTCTCTTTTGCGTTTTCCCACTTTGAGATATTATCCGCAGCCCTTGGACTTCTTTAGTAGTTCCCAAGGCTGATGAGATGTGCAGAGACAGAAGCCTTTGTTGCTGTCAGAGAAAATGCCAGCATGTTAGAAGCCATTTTACATCTCAAATGAAAGGAGAGTCCTTTTTTTTCCCTCCGCTGCCTCATGCCTCCAGAGCCTCACGCCGCAAGCCCCCCGTTTGTGCTGCTTGAATGGGCTTCATGAATGGCCTGTCCTGGTTCTCTGTGTGTGGGCCGACATTGGTCTTGTGTGGGGAAATGTGTATGCTGTAGTCTACTGTACATCCACTCTGTTTCGACTCTGTTGTAGTTTCTGTGTCTGGTTGAGTGAGTCAAATTCCTCCACAGCACCTTTTGTGAGTGAACAGTTTGAATCTGATCTTTCAGGTATTTGTGGAAAACTATTGCATAAAAGGAAAGTTTCCCCAACAGTTAGAACACCTTTGAGAGAAAAATACTTAACTTGCATTTTCATTGTCATCATTCAGAGACCTGAAACACTTAATATCAAGACATGTGACTTGATCTGTACTTAAGAAACTGAGACATTTGAAGCTTAATCCAAAGGCTTCGACCAGTCCAGTTGCCAAGGGGAAGATCGTCCACGACTACGACTCATTCTTAAAGAGTCTTTCCTTCCTTCCTTTCTTGCTATCTTGCTTTCTTTCCTTCCTCCCTTCCTTCCTTTCTTGCTATCTTGCTTTCTTTCCTTCCTTCTTCCTTCCTTTCTTCCTTTCTTTCCTTTCTTTCTTGTTATCTTGCTTTCTTTCCTTCCTTCCTTCCTATCTTGCTTTCTTTCCTTCCTTCCTTTCTTGCTATCTTTCCTTCCTTCCTTCCTTTCTTGCTATCTTGCTTTCTTTCCTTCCTTCCTTCCTTTCTTTCTTCCTTTCTTTCCTTCCTTCCTTTCTTGTTATCTTGCTGTCTTGCTTTCTTTCCTTCCTTCTTTCCTTGCTATCTTGCTTTCTTTCCTTCCTTTCTTTCTTGCTTTCTTTCCTTCCTTCCTTCCTTCCTTGCTATCTTACTTTCTTTCCTTCCTTCCTTTCTTGCTATCTTGCTTTCTTTCCTTCCTTCTTTCCTTGCTATCTTGCTTTCTTTCCTTCCTCCCTTCCTTCCTTTCTTGCTATCTTGCTTTCTTTCCTTCCTTCCTTCCTTCCTTTCTTACTTTCTTTCCTTTCTTTCTTGTTATCTTGCTTTCTTTCCTTCCTTTCTTCCTATCTTGCTTTCTTTCCTTCCTTCCTTTCTTGCTATCTTTCCTTCCTTCCTTCCTTTCTTGCTATCTTGCTTTCTTTCCTTCCTTCCTTTCTTTCTTCCTTTCTTTCCTTCCTTCCTTTCTTGTTATCTTGCTGTCTTGCTTTCTTTCCTTCCTTCTTTCCTTGCTATCTTGCTTTCTTTCCTTCCTTTCTTTCTTGCTATCTTGCTTTCTTTCCTTCCTTCCTTTCTTTCTTCCTTTCTTTCCTTCCTTCCTTTCTTGTTATCTTGCTGTCTTGCTGTCTTTCCTTCCTTCTTTCCTTGCTATCTTGCTTTCTTTCCTTCCTTTCTTTCTTGCTTTCTTTCCTTCCTTCCTTCCTTCCTTGCTATCTTGCTTTCTTTCCTTCCTTCTTTCCTTCCTTCCTTTCTTGCTATCTTGCTTTCTTTCCTTCCTTCTTTCCTTGCTATCTTGCTTTCTTTCCTTCCTTCCTTCCTTTCTTTCTTGCTTTCTTTCCTTCCTTCCTTCCTTGCTATCTTGCTTTCTTTCCTTCCTTCTATCCTTCCTTCCTTCCTTCTTTTCTTCTTTTCTTGCTATCTTGTTTTTTGTCACTGATCTAAAAAAAGTTAAAAATCCATTGCTTTTGTTTTCTCCTCACAGAACATTTGACCCCTCCGAGCCGCCATCATGGCTCTGGTTCAGGCTCTGCCCATCTCTACTGAGCCTCACACCCCCGGCCATAGTGGATCCCGCAGGAGACACCACTCCTCCTCGTCCCCCGTCAACGCTCCACCCTCCGCTCTGGATCCCATGGGTTCTGTCAGCAGTCTCATCGCCGCCCGTCCAGGACCCTACCAAGACCTCCGTTCTGGCGGGGAGCTGGGAGCCAGGGTGCGGCGGCCCACACAGGGCGCCTCCTGTCTGGGCTCTGAGTCACCCCAGGACCCTTTACTGCAGAACATCCTGCCACTCTTGAAACAGAGCTCCACAGGCTCCGGCAGGGGTCTGATGGAAAAGGAGAGCGGGAATGGGAACCACACCTATCTGAATGAGGACTTCATAGGAGACTGGAACGACAACCATGTGACGCCTGTGAGCCCGGGGACGGACGTGGACGGGAGTCAAGAAGTGTCCGGGTTAAATGGAAATATGGGCGGACCGCCTCCAAAACTGGTCCCTGTGTCAGGAAAACTGGAGAGGGTAAGTTTACTGACTAAATCTTAGATAGCCCTTCCAGAGAGGGGGCGTGGTCAAACACAGCTCATTTACATATTTAAAGCTACAGACACAGAAACAGCCTGTTCTGAGCAGGGCTGAAATAGAGGGGTTTATAGACATGATCAAATACAGGATCAGAGTGGATTTAGAACAAGAAACTTCACACACATGTTTTGGGGAGCTCTGAGACTAATTTAAACTTGTTGAAAATCAGGAGAATATGTGACCTTTAAGTTAGTCATCATTTTTGTTTTCAGGCAGCATTTGCAGAGTGTTTATGTAAAGTATTTAAAAAGTGATTTTTGGTGATTTCTGGTACAAAGAAATTCAGACATACTTTTGAGTTTCGCTTGCCTTTGACATATTTTGTCATCTATCTGTAGAACATGGAGAAAACGGTGCTGCGGCCCACAGCCTTCAAACCCGTCATTCCCAAGAACCGGACGTCCATGCAGTACCTCTCCCCCCGCCATGTTGCCAACGTATCAGAAAGCCAAAACAACCTGAACCTGCTCAGTCCGACCCACAGAGAATCATCGCCCTCCAGCACGGAGAAAAGCAACGCGTACGGCCGAACGCGGAACGGCGGCAGCGGCTGCAACCAGCCGTGTCAGCTGACCGACTCTGGACGCAACTCCCTCTGCAGCATCCCCCCATACAGCAGCGCCCCCTACAGTCAGACGTCAGGGGAGACCACCGCTGGTCACCTGGAGCCCATGAAGAGCGCTCCACCTGTCAGCACGCACGGACACTCAAACTCTGACAGCGGGCGCTCGTCTTCAAGTAAGAGCACCGGCTCTGGCTCGATCAGCGGCCGAGGTCATCCTCTCTCTGACAGCGGGTCTAGTGGGCGCTCCCCGGGCCCGGTGGAGGGTTATGAAGGGGTGGTGAGGGACCTGGAGGACAAACTGAGGGAGAGAGAGCTGGAGCTGCAGACACTCAGAGACAACCTGGACGAGAATGAAGCTGCTATTTGTCAGGTTGGTAGAGACATCTGCAGATAAATCTAAAATCTGTAAGTGGGGAAAAAGATAAGTTTTCTGTTTGTTGTCTGAGTAGTTTTGATCACTAAAGCCTTGTTTCCATCAAGCGGTCGGTTCAGTTAAGTACAGTTTGGTACACATTTATCTGCATTTCCAAGAAAACAAAACTTAGGAATGGTACCAAAATAACAAATAAGTTTCATCCTAATTTTTTGCTTCCCTTCTTCTGGGGTGCCAAGCGATCTGATCTGACCCTAAAGGTTGGAGCTAGACACACTGTAGTCCACTGAGTGGTCAAAAGAATCACCGCTTCCTGTGCAACAACGGTAATAAAGAACAAACACAAAACGTCCCATATGTAATTATTCGAGTGAGTAATTTCAAGGCTGTTTTTCAAGACAAATCCCAATAACGAAAGAACACGAATGCTGGACGTCCTCAAATGTTGCTTTTGTTTACTGTGTCCAATTCTTCTTCTTGGTTGAATATATTGGTGGTCTACACTGTGTCACATGTCAAGCTATTAGGTAGCTGACACCGGTATCTCCATCTAGTGAGTGTAAGAGTGTACAAGATCAGGGTATACTGTACTAAACTGTACTGAACCAAACCAGACCACCTAGTGGGAACCAGGCTTAACTTTCAGCCCAATTTGGTTATATGGTGGCAAGCAGCCAGAGAGCAAAAGAGGTGTTAAATATGGGCTGTAACAAAATCCATCAACTATGATCTAACAAGTTTATCTTTGTTTCAATCTCTGTAAACCACCATTTGTGTTTAAGTGCACCCTTAACCCAATTCTATTCTGCAAGTTGCTAGTTGGACTTTAAACTATCACCTGTGTGTGAGGAACTAAGTCTTAGGCTAGTAGTTACTGCCATCCAACAGGCTATATAATAGTCCATAAATGATGGGTCCCAGGGCTTTCAGGTGTTGACCATGATGAGCGTTTTCACTAAGACACATGCATTCTGACTATGTCCAGTTCCCAAGAGGTGTTAGTAAAAAAAAAAAAAAGCACCAATTTTGTGATGGTAAATATTCAACATAAAATTCTGTCTTTTAAAACTTTCAGCCCGTTTGCTTCATGTTCCACTGTCTTTCTTTGCAGGTCTATGAGGAGAAGCAGAAGCGCTTCGAGCTGGAGCTGGAGGAGCTGAGGCAGGGCTGTGCCACCAGGATGCAGGTCGCCTCGCAGAAGGCCCAGCGCGCTCAGCAGGTGCTTCAGCTGCAGGTCAGGACCTCTGACAAAACAATCAGACAGGTTCTATTGTGTTACAAACCACAGTTGATGCTGTTGTTTCTGTTTTTGGAGACTTTGCTCGAACTACCCTACAAAGTAATTAGTCTCAGAGGGGGGATCACTTCATTCCCCCATTACGCCTCTCTGATATTCACAATGAAGGCGAGGGGTCACAGGGGCGTAAATATCTTCCATTGAACCGGCGGTCTGAATGGTGCTGTCGTGTCTTGGTCACAGGTGTATCAACTGCAGCAGGAGAAGAAGAAGTTGCAGGAGGACTTTGCTCAGCTCCTGCAGGAGAGGGAGCAGCTGGAAGAGCGCTGCACATCCTACGAGCACGAGAAGATCCAGCTGGGGCCTCGACTGGAGGAGAGCAAGTGGGAGGTGAGAGGAGATGAACGGAATCAGGGACACAGATGTTTGATTCACCAGTGAGCACATTAAAAGAGAAGTTTTGGGCAGTTTATCACCCCTCGCTAAACTCTATACGACCCATTACTTTAAGCTCAAATTATGCGAAGACTTTAATTTGTGGATCATCAGTCTGAGCATGGCAGCTTGTCTATAAAGCAATTATTCATATTTATATCCCGTATTAAATGAAAGTAAATTGAGCGTAATAATCATGCAGTGCATTATAAGTTTAAGTACTTGATACAGGAGTTGTTGATTTAGTTGTTATGGTTTTCTGAGGAGGGGTTTAGTGCCCTCATCTTGGTCTGCCAGGCCACACAATGAGCAGCAGAAAAAAAATACTTTGATTAAGATGTGATGCGAGGTTGATGAAAATGTTGATTGGACAAAGAAAAAAAATGTATGGAGGCTGTCGTCTCAAGCGGGTGGCCCAGGTTCGCTTCCCACCTGTGGCTTTTTTCCCGTATGTCATTGCCCACTCTCTCTCTCTCCCTGATTTCCGACTCTATCCACTGTCCTATCTCTCCATTAAAGGCACAAAAAGCCCAAAAAGAAATCTTAAAAAAGAAAAAAGTGTTTCAGCTACTTCTTTAAATGATGTGCACAAAACATCGGTGTTCTTTCCTGAGCTGAGTGTACGTTCTCTTCTTCCGTCAGGTGTGTCAGAAGTCGGGGGAGATCTCGTTGCTGAAGCAGCAGCTGAAGGAGGTGCAGGGCGAGTTGTCCCAGCGGGTGGGGGAGATCGTGTCCCTGCGAGGTCAGCTCAGGGAGTCTCGCGGCGAGCTGACCAACACACAGGTGCTCCTGCAGGAGGCCAACGGGACGACGCGCACGCGGACCCTGGAGCTGGAGGTGTGCGAGAACGAGCTCCAGCGGCGCAAGAGCGAGGCGGAGCTGCTGAGGGAGAAGGTGGGACGCCTGGAGGGAGAGCTGGTTCACCTCAGAGACGCTTTGGCCAATCAGGGCCCGGGAAACAGACAGTGTCAGGTGTTCCACGAGGCCGAGGAGCACATGCTGGCCTACGAGAGCGACGAGGCGAAGGCTCAGCGGCAGAGCACTTCAGAGGCGCTGCAGAGCATGAAGCTGCAGATGGACAGGATGAAGTCGGAGCTCGCCTTCGAGCACCAGCGGGCGGAGCAGCAGATGGGGGGCTTTGAGGAGGAGCGCAAGATATGGCAGGAGGAGAAGGACAAGGTGATCCGCTACCAGAAGCAGCTGCAGCAGAACTACGTGCAGATGTACCGCAGGAACCGAGAGCTGGAGCAGCTGCTGCAGGAGCTCAGTCAGGAGGAGGACGAGGGCAGCGGCAACGAGATCAACTTCGACGAGATCGCCGCCACGGAAATATGAACCCTCGTGTCCGTTCATGTTTTATTTGCACTACTGTCAGCTTTTTTTTTTTTGAAATTCACCTTCACGTCACAGATCGGATCTCCTCTGCGCTGTCTGGATGGAAACATAAACCCTGTTCACACAAGCATCACAAATGGACATCTCAAAGCACAGCTGTTCACACCTGGAATTATCATGACCTGAAAATGCATCTCAAAATGTGTTTCCAGTGACCACTTGTTTGATACTTTCATGCAAAATAACACACAAAGCAGCATTTACCTTTATTAGGCTTTAAACGACATCGACTGTTACTTGCAGATACAAAGAGAGAGAGAGAGCGAGTGTGTAATATCAAACTTTCTATGGAACATAATTTCACTTTACAGCTGTTTAATTTATCAGTGAGTGAGAAACTACTGCAGACTGGAGTCTCTGGAAACTAATAGAGCCACTCAACTAAAAAAAAACAAAAACAGTCAGATCCTAAGCCCATATCCATCACCGGTAGTGTTTAAACCTGTACTTCAGGCTGTCCACTCGTGATGTCATCACTTAGGATGCCAGGTGAAAACAGGACAACAGTTTGAGGAGACGTGTAAAAAAACATCTGCAGTGTAAAATCAGCCGCACGTTAGCTCTGCCTCATCGGTCTAGTCTCCAAGGAGTCCCACTTAAAAGCCAACGACCTCTATTAGTCGTTAGTAGGCCACCTCAGTCCTCTGCCCCCCACTCATTATCATTTATGTGAGTGTTTATGAGCTACGTCTTTTCCCGCAGTTTTAGTGGGAGTTATTATGTGTGAGTAACATTTCACCCTCCTCCTCCTCCTCCTCCTGTGTTTGTCAGGATTCCTCCTCCCTGCTCAGATTATCACCACACTCCCACTCTGTGTTAGCAGTCTGCTCTTGTTTGTGTCGTTAATATGGACAAAGCCCACGCTGCTGTACGGTGACAGAAAACGTGGGACTCTGCACACGTCAAGGTTGAGAGTGAGTGAGTCAGAGCGCGGTGCTGAGGTTGGAGAGCGATGATCTATCAAACTACTACAGCCTTTATGTAAACGCCATTCGGACTGAAAAGAGTAACTGCAGATGTTTTCTTCCTTTAATTTGATTGACAAACTATTCAAATTTTCTGAAATTCTACGGCACATAAGGTGTTTTATAACTTTGAAAAAGGCAGAATTTGACACTCTAGGACACTTTTATGTAAGAGGATGTATGAGGGAATAAAATCCTAAAATTGGGCTCTTACATCCTGAACAATGAAACCTAAAAAAGTTTAGATGTAAACATCAACAGAGTGCAATGTAATCAGATACAAAATCATCACATGATTATGACTGAACCAGCTTTAAAACCAGCACAGATTTGTGTGGAAAGTTTGGATTAAATGATTTTCCTTTTTCATATAGAAGGGGTTATATGGATCAAATACAGTACCAAGTATCGATCACACTGTATATCATGATATCATGAATGTTCAGAAATTAAATTGGCTTTTTTTTAACAGCAGACGTTAATGCTCTTCATAGCAGGAGAAGTTGATAAGCAATATTGAAACCGACTGTTTTTCCATTAACATGAATTCAAAGAGATCCAGTTCCAGGCTCACTGTCGGGTCTTACCGGGAAAAACTTCATGAAACCAAGCTAATTCGTTTCACGTCTTCTGTGTTAAAGGTTCTCTGAGAAACTTTCTGTTTTTAGCTAATCAAGCAAATAAAACACCCGGTAAGAAAAATCAAAATAACTCAAAAGTCATGTTTTAAAAAAAAAACATTATTAGCATTTTGGTTTCTACTTCCAAAAACAGAATGAGTTTAATGTTTTGAGGCCGACACTTTGTTGTTTGTGTTGTTCAGAGATGCTTATTTAGATTTTAATGGCTGCTCTTTTTTCTAATGTTAAACTGTAAACATTCAAAAAGGGAGTGATCAACAGTGTTTGAAGAGAGGGAGGGTCAGAAATACATATTTTTTTCTTTTCACATAAAGCATTAAACGCTGCTTATTGGTGTAAAACCTTTTCATAAACTGGCCTGAAACATCCAGAATTATAAACCTGGTATGTAGCAACCACAGCTTGAACTGTATGTCAGAGTCATGGCGTACAAGTCCTTAAGTCACCGGCTCCATCTGTTTCATTTCAGTCAGTGATATGTTGAAGGAGGCAAACTGAACTTTAAAAAAGATAAACATACACTCATCTGAATTTAATCTCTTTACTGGTTCACACATGTTCCAGATTAAGACGTGTGAGACGGTCCTGAAACAAATCCTTCATGGCTCGTTTATCTGATAATCAGAGCGAATAATTTAAACACTTTTCTGCGTAAGAGCTGAAGAAAGAGATGACTGTGTGTGTTTATGTGTTACTAAGGATTAAATCTCTGATGGGAAGTCGTGCACTGAATGAGCCTCTTTATGAGTAAACTACCTGACGACCTTTAAAGTATAAGACCTGTTATTCCGCACAGCTGAGCTCAGAGAAAAAAAGAAAAAAAAACCTTTTTGTTTTGTCCCATTATAACCTGCTGATTGAGTTTCCCTCCTCTGTAAATGACCCGGAGAAATCATCGAGATGTGTGTCCTTAAACATACAAACATAGCCACTGTGAATAGACCAAAGCAATGTCGCACCTGTTCTATTAGCTCCTCCTCCTCCAGATATGACACCTGTATATTAACGTCAGTGTGGATGTCCGTTCTGTGATTTTATAATCCACAATATTTGTATGAAGACATTAAATGTATATTTTCATGCTGTACATATCTTGAACAAACCTACTATGTTTTTAATTAAAGAAATACAAAATGTTGAAGGTTTTTTTGTTGGATTTTAACCCTTTAATATTTCCATATAACACTTTTTATTTTATACATTTACAAAGTATTCAGCCAGTACATAAAACAACAGTTAAGTTTGGGTTGTAAATCTCTTCAATGGCAACCTGGATTCTTTATTCTCCAATACTCAACTTGATTACATTTGTTCATGTTCACAGCTCGTGTGTGCCCTCTGCTGGTCAGTATGTAGACTACAAGTAACATGAAGTTAGACTTTTTTTATATTTAGCCCACAGGCCTTTTAAAGGCACTCAGGTTGCACTTCAGTGTTCTGAAACATTGATGCACGCTGCTGGTCCAGGATGTATTTCATGTAATGGTGATCGGCTCCTGGGTTATGTTAAGGTGAGTTATTAAGGCATCACGAGCAACAATGTTTAAAGAGGACATATTATCCCCCTTCTCCACCTTTTCAAACAGTCCCCCTGTGTCTAAATGAAACATCTGTGCTGTGCTTTGGTCAAAATATAACATGAATCAAGCACCAGAGGAGGTTTGTGACCCTGTATAAACCAGCTCTCTCAGAACGCTCCGTTTTGGTGTGTGTGTCTCTTTAAATGCAATGAGCCCCCCCTGAGTTTTCCTGGTAGACATCACTCCTTAAATGGTGGACCTGCACAAAAGTTTTTTTATAGGCTGGGGGTGGAGTCCATGGGTGGAGATATCAGAGGAGGGGAGGGGATTTTTTTAGAATCCCACTGTGACATCACAAGGAGAGCAAATTAGAAACGGAGCATTTTCCTCTGTGTTGTAAGACTTATGCAGACCACAAACAAAGGACTGGATGGATTTATTTCACATTTTGTGGGTCAGTAGACACTCAGGTTACCCAAATAAATGTTCAAAAACACTGTACAAGAGGATTTGTCATAATATGTCCCCTTTAAGATTCTGAAGGTTATTTTCTGTAAAAATGGACGCATCTGTGACGAGATTCCTCTTGTACTTTTCATTTTTAGCTTCTTCCTTAATCAAATCCTTTTTTGATTCTTGTTTTTCCAGCTCAAGATGCTCAACAGCAACAAGTGTCCATCTTATTTTTTATACAAACATGAATGGCAAAATAAAATACCTCAGAGCACCTCACAGTGTGCGGGGCTGAAGTTCCAGTTTTCCAGTCTGTGTCTCCGTCGGTACGAGAGTCTGCAATGTTTCTAAACTTCACGACGAGTGTCTCACGTCTCCGTTGAAATGTTTTTGGGGACTTTGACCACCAGCACCATGGGGTCTTTGGCCTTGTTGCTGAAGGCTTTTCTGATGATGTCCACAGCGTGTTGATGAGTGACTCCTCGCAGGGTGACTCCGTCCACTGACACCAACTCAAATCCAGCCTGAGGACACAAGAGGGAAAGTTTCAGATACTTATCATTCCACTGATTTTCTGTCATAATTTCATGTTCTGGAAGTCGATTATATTGTGTGAAGTGTTGAACTGCATCATTCGTTTCTTGACTCACCTTGAGCACTTCACAGGTGGAGGCGGCTCCTCCTGGAAAGATCTTCTCGATCTTCACAACCGGCTGAACCTTGGACTCCATGCCCCCGGATATACTGATGCCTGAAACAGCAAAACAACAAAGACGGACGTCAGCAATGCAACTTTAAGGAAGACTGCTGGAAAACAGCCGTCGAGAAGTGACACTGACAATATCTATTCTCACTCTATTCTCCAGGCATTACGTTGTGTGTATATGTTTTATTTGATTTAACCCTCATCTTTCTTCTATCTATCTTTCATAGAATGCTTTTAAAATGTTGCTGAGTTTTATCCTCCAACGGCTGCCATTTCATACTTTTACCCCCTGTGTGCTTTATGATCTGTGCTTTTTTCCTCCTGAGTGGAAAGAGTTTGATTAATTTGTTAAAAAAAGTTTATTTTTATAACAACAAATATGTCTCTGATGAAAACTGTCTCAATGGATCCTGAGTACTCGGGACATTGTGTTTGGAAACACAGCCCTGAGGTTTGGGGCTAAAAAAAAGGTCACTTTTGTTATTTTAGTGGACTGACCCTTTAAATCACAACATATGGTATTTATTTTATGATTCTAACATCTCAGACGTTAACATTTACCCAGAGACTGCTTAGTCTTGGAGATGGTGACAGTCTTTAGTTTGTACTCCTGCTCAGGCTCGGCTCCGTTGAGTCTGTTCTCAGATTGATCCCGATGTCCGTTCACCTGCTCGCTCCCCGTCTGCTGATCTGAACTGAACACCTGAGACAACAGCGGTCGACTCCTGCGAGCCGCGCTCTGCAGCGTGAACACAGATTCTTTGCTGCTGTCCGTGCTTTTCTTCCTGCCTCTGGTGTGTCCGTTTCTGGACGGAGATCTCCGCCTCTCTAAAGTCGAGTGCAGGGAAACCTCGTCGAAGTGGACGGAGCGGATGGTGCCGATGTCCGTGCGGAGAGGAGGGCGGGAGTCCTCGCTGCGGGTCAGAAGCCAGTTAGGGATCGCAGGGCTGGAAGAGGCAGGTCTGAGGTCTCTGGGCTCTGTGTCGTATCCGTCCACAGGGATGTCCAGCAGCTGGGTGAAGGATCTGGGGGTTGGGGGCCTCTCTCTGGACTTCTGGAGCCCTGAAACAGTGAGCCTCTCCAGCTGATCCAGGAGGTTGCTCTCCTTCTCCACCTCCTCGGCACTGTGGAGCTCAAAGCCTCCCTGGAAATCTGAGGGAAACATTTGTGTAGGGAAAATATTAGAATAAACAACCTGATAAAAAAAAAACAATCACATGCATAAATAGTTCTACATTAAATGGGAAAGGTTGAACCAAAATAAATTAATGAAGGAACCAAAGGCCAGATACAGTCTCTCTCTCTCTCTTTATGATTCCATCAGTCAAACGTTCCTCTGACAGCAGGAGGAATACTTTCATTCTCTCAAACTGATAAATAAACTTTTTATAACTAAATAATAAAAATAAACCAGATGAAATGAAATCCCGTCCTAGAATATGAGACCTGACTTAATATGAGAATGTGACAAGAGTGAGATCCAAGTAAACTTGACCTCTGATAACCACGTTAAGGTTTGTGCCAAATTAAAGAAAAACATTCCCTTCAGGCGTTCTTGAGATTTTTATTTCCAACAACAACATACCAACATACTGGAAAAAAGCTCCTGAGCTCTGGATGGTTCTTCTGGATCGTTGGTGGGGACCTCCTGCTGCTCTGACTATGGACCCCCCCTCCCTATTTGTCCCATAGATTTGTCACTATCCTTCTTCCTGCATCTTTCTCTATCCCATTTTTCAAACCTGCAGCTGCACAGAAAACACTCATTTGCAATCATCTTCATAACACCAAACAGCCCTCTACTTATATAGAATGCAGGATGTTTGTAAAAATACATTTTAACTTAAAAACTAAACTCTGAGTAACACAGCGGCGTTGTTTCCTAGGTGAAAGCTACTGACCTGGGATGGGAGTGATGAGGCGTCGTTTTGGTGCTCGACCGGACATGGGCGAGCGAAGAGGAGGAGTTTTGACTACAATAAGAAGAGGAGAGAAGAGAGAGAGTGAGTAGAGCTGCTGTTTTTGTTTCTTACTGATCCTGACATTCAGCAGGGGTCGTACGCACCCGAGCGATACTTGAGGATGTCGTAGGCCTCGACTTCCAGCGGAGTCACCAAGTTATTGAACGCACTCAGGTCAGAGGGAGGAAGCAGCATCCTGAGACACAAGACGGTGCTGAGTCATTGTTGAATAGTTATAATTACATGTCAGACGACAGCTTTGTAAAGTTTCCATCAGTATATAACTTCTCCATCATACACATTCACACACTGATCTGATGCCTGTGACACTTAGGAACAATACGGGGTTCAGTGTCTCACCTGAGGACACTTGGACATGTGAACAACAGGAGCTGGGATTGAACCACTGACCTCTGATTGTGAGACTGCAAGCTCAACCACCGAGCCAATTATCACAATCTTAGACTGAAATATTTAGATTTGGGTGCAACCTAACCACTAGGCCATCTTCACCACTGTAGTGATCTTTTTTTATTTATGTCTAGAATCAACAACAGTTCTGTAAAGCTCTAAATAAAGAAAATCATTTAAATTGTAATTCTCAGTGATACAATGAGCAAATTAATAATTCATTGGCTCTTTAGCTGCATCTAACAAGCTTTTGGAGTTACTGAATATCTTCTTCTCCTCTTCCTCTCCTTACCTGACCTCCCTCAGCAGCAGCAGCTTCTCCGGTCTGTCCAACACAGCCAGCAGGTGGCGTATCAAGTTCTCCACCGACCGCTCCGCCACATACTGTGAAGAGGCATTCAAAAAAAAAAAAAAATGAACAGTCACTTTAAATAACTTGAGTCAGTCAGCTATGCTTGGATCTGATAGTTGAATATTTGCTTTGTACCCTTCTGCACGTCTTCATCACAGCCTCCACCTCCTCCTCCGTCAGCAGCCTGCGGGCCATGTCATCCACCGCTCCGAGCATCTCGGAATTTGGCATCGCACCGACCTGTCGTCCTTCTGAAGACATCACAGAATGAACGCATTTCTACCTCTTTACACTCCACAGACTTCAACTTTTGATATACTGTAAATTAAATCTTTTAAGTTACTCTAAGGATGAAGTTTCAAAACGTCTCTGTTGTTCCTTTTAAAAACAAACTCCCATGAATGAGCCAAACTTGAGGGCACACTACCTTTGCCGGTCTTGTCTTTGGACGGGGACTTGGATCTGGCCCTGGAAGCATCCCTCTTGCGTCCGCCCTTAAACAGCAGGTTGACTAAAGTCTTTGAGCGCTGCAGGGTGCTCTTCTCCTCCGGGTCCTTCCCTTTCTGCTTCTTGTCTTTCTTCTGGTTGATCTCTGTGATGGAGAGCAACGATAGGTCACTTTTATCCATCCGCTCTTGTTCTTTATCTTTACTGCCCTCTCTCTCTCTCCTCCCTCACCTGCAATGGTGGCCTGACTCTGGGACCTGCTGATTGGTCGGCTGGGTCTGCTGAGAGCCA